GAACGCCCCTGCCCGTCCCTGTGCCCGTTTCCCCCCAGATCTCTCCCTACCTCCGGATCTCTCTGTCTCTGCCTCTGTCTATCTCTCCATCTCTGTCTCTCCCAGCGTCTCTGTCTCTGTCTCCCCCTTGCTGGTTTCCGCTCAGATTAAGCCGGGGACCTAATTCCAGGCCCAGGATCGAATTTTCTGGCAACAAAGGGAAATAGCGAATCGATCGGTCGCTCCGGAGATTAAGAGACAAGCGGCGCGCGGATCTATCACGGCTAAACGGCCCCCCCCCCCGCCCGCCCCCCCCGCCTGGCCGGCCCGCCGAGGCCCTGACGCGCTCCGCATCGTCAAGCAGCCTCAGGAGCCCGGGCTGCCCAGCAGGCCGGGCCTTGCCAAGCCCAGAGCTAACTGCGTGCCCTTCCCAGGGCGCGAGCCAATGGAGGGACCAGAGAGCCGCGGCGTCCCCTGGGGAGGGGCAGAGAGGGGAGCAACAGAAAGTGAGGCAGCAAACCCCCCGGGGAGTCGTGCCGCACATACCTGTGGCCTCAGGTAACACTCTTCGTGCACACCTGTCAACACACCTGTCAACACACCTGTCACACCTGGTCGCCTCCTGGGTTCCCCACACCTGGGCCGACCTCCAGGTAACAACAGTCTGCTTACACCTGTCCGCTGCGGGGCGTCACCCCTGTTCTCTGCAGCCCTTCCCTTCAGCTCTGGAGCTCTGCTCCCTGGAGGTTATACCCGCCTCCTGTCACCTGGCTCTCTGCCTGAGGCGCCTGTTTTTCTGGAATCCGCCCCGCCACCAGAATCCCCGCGTCTCTCATTTCTCACGCCACCTTCTCCTCTTCCTCCCTGCACTGGTACCATCCCACCTGCCCCCGTAGGTGTTCATGCTTTTCCTCTCTGCCTTCCAGCAGTGCCACCCTTCACCACACAGGTGTGCGCACACACAGCACTGCGCACACAGCACTCCCCCGTGCAGCTCCCTAACCTGTGCAGCTCCCTAACCTGTACCCTCAGTTACAGCCCGCCCCCCCATGCCCCCTGACACCTGCTGCTCACACCAGCATCTTTTCTCAGCTCGTTGCCCTGCTATGGTGCTTTCCTACAAGCCCTGGTCCACTGGGATTCCCACCTGTGCCACCTGTGTCTGTCTGTCTATCTGTCTGTCTGTCTGTCTGTCTCTGCCTCTGCCTCTCTGGGTTCTCGCCTTCTCTTACAACACACAGCACTCACACTTTTGGCCAGTTCTTGGCCACAAGTATCTGTCTCACCTGTTTCGCTGTTTCTCCTCCATGCCTGTGTCTCAGGTACTACCTGTCCACTTCTCCCACACGCTGACTTCCCGCACTTCTCATTTCTTCCTTTGGCGCACAAGTTCGTGCCAGCACCTCCGTACACCTGTTTACCTTAGCATCACCTGCTCCATCACGCCGTGCACTCATTTCTTCAGTAAACAGGTACTGAGAATTCCAGACGCCCACCCGCACTGCCCTCAACCTGTCTGCTGTACAGTTCTTCAGCTGAGTCTTGCCCATCCTATCCCCAAGAGGACACCTCCTCCTGGAGGTGCACCTGTCGTGCAGAGATCCACGTGGCTCCCAACTGCTTCTGCCTCTCTCCTTTCCTCCCCCTAAACATCCAGTTACCTTGGATCCTCATGAGAGCTGTGAGCCCCCTGCACATCCCCAGCCCTCTTGTCTCAGATCTTTTCATCTCATGCAACCTGTCACCCGCACTGTAAGGGTCAAATCTTCGGGTCTCTTACGCCTCTCTCAAGCCTGCTCCATGCCAAAAACAACTGGCCTTTTTCACAGCATGTCTCCAGCCAGCGATCTGCTCAGGGAATACTGTTTTTTGGCTTATAAGCCACACCTGCAGCATTTGCCAAACACACACAGCACCCATGCCCAGCTGCTGCTACACCTGCACACCTGCTCCCTGCACTGTACAGACCTCCTTAAGGTGGAAGCCCTCAGACATCAGCATGTTTCAGAGACACCTGCACAGACTCCTGTGCCTCCCATCAGTCAGGTGGAACCCGAGGGTCTGCATTTCTAATAATCTCCAGGCGATGTTGGTCCACATACCACTCTGTGATTGACACCTGCTTGTCTACGTTCCCCACTGGTGTCATCGCACCTGCTGTTCCCATGCATGCCGATGGCCATGATGATGGCAGTGACAGCTGCTGCTAATGACTAAAACTGTCCCTGTGACAGGACAGCCATCATTTCATTTCCCCTTATAGGACCTTTTCTAAGGGGGGTACTTAACTTCTGTCCCCATTTTACAGAGAAGGAGACTGAGTCCAGAGAGGTGAAGTAATATTTTTGAGATCTCAGAAACTTCAAGCTATTGGAGATTTGAGTCAAACCGAGGCAGCCTGACTTCAGAGACTGTCTTCCTTGTCATCCAGGTTTGCTTGTCTCCTGCACTTGCCCAGCAGGTGACCTCCTTCCTCCACAGACACACCTGTCCAGCCCTTGCCTCATCACTGGGTTCTTCTCAACCTCCTGCTGTCACCCTCCACTCCTGCCCCTGCCCCGCCACGGGCGCCCCAGCCTCTGCTCACAGGCTTGGCTCCCACCTGTGTTGGCTGCTGGGGCCAAGGCTGACACCACATCCTCAGCCCCGCGCCTCCCAGCACACACTGCCGCTCCAGATGCCCGCTGATCTCTGGAACTGCCTTCCTGAGATGCGTCTTTCTGTCCCCCCTCACTGTCTTTCCTTTCTCTATGTCCACCTCTGCCCCCATCTGCTCATCTCTCCCTGACCTGTCACCTCTGCCTGTCACCAAATCAGGTCTCTTTATCTCTCTGTGGTTCTGTCTTTTGTTTCTTAATTGCCCTCTCCCTCTGTCTCTTCATTCTCTTTCTCCATTTTTCTCTGTCTCTTTGTCTCATAACTCTATTTCTGTGTCTTCTCCTCTTCTTTCTTTCTTTGTCTCTGTCTCTGTCTCTCTGTCTGTCTCTTCTCTGCTTTTTTGTCTGTCCCTTGCTTTCTCCTCTGACAGTAGAGATAGTGGGGAGCTTGAGGTCATGCTGAACCGCGTGCAGGTCCAGGTTTCAACACTCAGCCTTATGGGACTTCAGCCAAGTTACCTTCCATGTCTGAGCCTCAGTTTCCACATCTGTGAACTGGGCATCATGGTAGTTCCTACTTTGCAGGTGGTGGTAAGGGTGGGGTGCTGAGGGAGGTGAGAGGGCCCGGGTCAGCTAGGGGCTGGACTTCTCTGTAGGTCCCTTTCCGGGCCCATCTCTTTCTCAAGACTGCCATCCAGCCTGGCCACCAGTGGGAGCAAGCACATGGCAGGGAGAATGGAGGGAGAAGTGGCCGAGGTGTCCAGGCCAGAAAGGCCTGGGCATGGGACCCGGTGTGGGGCTGGGGACAGGGATCGATCTGCCTCGGCGGCAGTGCAGGGGCCAGGATTGCATCTTGTCACAATAATTTATTGCTCTCATCCCATCTGATCGATGGCGCTGAATTAGCACCGCGCCTGATGCCCCTGGAGCCCCGAGCCTCCCCCAGCCCAGCCGGACCCTGGCCCGTGTGGGATCCCCACCTGGCCCGGCCCTCCGCTCTTCCCTGCCCTGTTTCCTTGTGCCTGAGTTTCTCGGCCCTGTTCCCTTGACTGTCTGCCCCTTATCTTTGCCCTCCAGGGTCTGAGACTCACTTCTCTGTTCCTGACCCTCAGCCCCCCACTTCCCCACTTGGTCCCATCTCCCTGTCCCGCGTCTGGGTTGCTAGCTCTCTACTGCACCGCTGTTTGCCCTCTCTCTGTCCCGTCTCCCTGCCCCGCCAGACTCTGTTCCTGATCTCTGGCTCTGTGTCCCTTTGATCCCCACCTCTGTCCCTGTCTCACACTCCCCACCACGGTTTCATCTGGATTCCCCTTGGCCTGGCCCGCCGTCCTTCCTGGGCACATCCCCAGGCGGGAGAGCAAGATGCGCAGAGCCCCTGCCCTTGGGGGTCAGAGGAGAAGGGCTCACAGCCAGCCATCCTTTCTGTCCCTCTGCCCCCCAGGCGCCACGAATGACCGTCCCTTCCCTACTCAGCTGTCACTCTGTGATGGAGGGGTTGGGGCCAACAGGCCTAACCCAGGAGGCCGGCAGGTCTGTGGGGCTGAGGCTGGGGATGGAGCCGGGAAGGGGCTGGGGCTCAAGTGAGGCCGCAGCGGGGATGGGCTCGGTGAGGATGGGTTAGGGATGAGGACCAGGACCAGGCGGAGCCTGGAGGAGAGAGCCAGAGACCCAGAGTGCACGTGGGGCTGGCCTTGTGGGGTGAGGGCTGGCGTGGGGTTTGGCCTCCAAGGGACACGACCTCCTAGGGCAGAAGCAGGGACAGGCTAGCTGGGCGTCTCACCCCGGGAGGCTGGGAGTCCACACTAGCTGGGGCCTTCTTCGCGGCTCCCTCTCTGGCCACCGCGCCCTCCCTCATCCCCTCTCTCGCCTCTGCCCTAATCCCTCAATTTTCCGCATCTCTGCCCCCTCCTTGCCTTCCTCCCTGACCCAGGTCTCTGGCGCCCGCACTCCAGTGACCTGCAACTCTCTAATTTCCTTGGTCTCAGCCTCTCTCTACTTGCTCCCTCTTTCTGGGTTTCCCTAATCCCGGCCGCCCCTCTTCTCTCTGTCTCTGTGGTGTGTGTCTCTGTCTCTGCCTGTCTTTCCGTCTTACTCTACATTGCTGCCTTTGAGGTCTCCTGCTCTCTCTGGTCTTGGATCTCTCTGTCTCTGTGTCTGTCCTCCTCTCGCTGAGCTCCCCCTTCCTCTCTGTTCTTCGTCTCTCCTGCGCTGCCCCTCTCCCTGTCTGCCCCTGTCTCCGCTGCACCCCCAGCCCGGCTCCTCCAGCTCTCTGGGTGCCTGCAGGGAGGGGCTGCAGCAGCACCAGGCTGCGGCTGCGGCTCCGCCTCTCGCTCCCCTCCCCCAGTGCTGTTTGGTAGGCGGGGTGCGTGGCACTGCGGCTCCCACCTCCCCAGGGACGCTCCCTCGCTACCCCCCACTGACACTGTTGTGCGCTGCTGTGGCCACAGCCCCAGGGACATCCGTGCAGAGACTGGGACTGGAGGAGAGAGCCAGAGACCCAGAGAAACACACATGGCCCCAGAGACGCCCAGCCACAGGGAGAGACAGACCCAGGCAGGGCGTGGGTCTCCATCCTTGCCCTTCCTGTCCTCTGCAGCCACCCAGCCTCTTGGTCACCTAGCACGGTGGCTCCCAATCACTCCAGCATGAGACACCCGCCCTCCAGGCCTGGAAGCCCCTGCACACTGTCCCCACGTCTGTCCTGCACGGCGTAGCCTCAGCAGAGGGTCCCGGAGGTGCGCGCCTGTGTGGCTTGCCTTGCAGTGCGTGTAAATGGGACCTGTGCCGGTGTGTGCACCCCTGGGCACAGGCAGGGGGCTGAGTGTGGGTGTGAGGCCGCATGGCCACATGGAGCCACGCGTGTCGTGTCTGTGAGCATGTCTGTGGGCCGCGTGTGGTGGTGTGCACGTCTGACGCAGCTGTCCACAGCTCTGGGGCTGTGCTGTGCTGTGCGTGGTGTTTCAGCATCGTGTGGCCGTGGAGGGCGTGCTGAGTGAGCAGGGCAGGACTGCCCAGGTCCCTGAGGTCAGGGATGAAGAGGTGAGAGGCTCAGTCCAGGAGGAGCAGGGTGGGGGGCCAAGCAAGTGCGGCCCGAGGGACCCCTGAGCCAGGCTAGTGTGGGTGTGAGGGACACGGCTGGAGGTCTCCCACACCTGTGTGTGAGACACTGGCTGTGTGAGTCTGGGCGGCAGAGTGTGTGTTTTCTGTGTTTCAGCTGTGTCTGAGACTGGGTGCAGATGCAGCTGCTGTTCTGTGAGAGTGTGTGTGTGCTCGTGTTTGTGGTGTGTGTGTGTGTGTGTGTGTGTGTGTGGTCACTGGGGGAGTGGAATGTAGCAGGCTGGATAGAGCGTGCATGTGGATGACCAGCCTTGATGAATGCCAGCGGCCATGTGTATGTATCATGGTGTGCTAGAGGTTGTGTGTTGGTGTGTTGGTGTGATTGTAGGATGGTGCACGTGTGGAACGTCCTGCACTTGTCCCCGTGTGTGTAGGACTGTATGTCTGTGATGACCTGCGAGCACTTACATCTGTTTGGCTCACTGGGTGTGTGTGTGTGTGTTCTGTGGGTCTCTGTGTCATGTGTGACAGTCTTTAAAGTCCCATGTTTTGTGTGTCCATGTGAGAATTAGTATGTGGCACTTGGAGAAGTAATAAGGAGTCTGTGTGTGACAGCCGTGTGTATGGTGTGTGTACTGTGTGTGAGATGGATGTGTGTGGGGTGTGGTATCTGTGTAGTGTGTGTTATGTGCAGTGGCATGTGTATGGTATATGTATATGTGTGGCCTGTATGTATAGTACGTGGTGTACATGTAGTGTGTATCGTGGATGTGTGTGGTATGTGTGTAGTAAGTATATAATGTGTGTGGTGGGTGTGTGATGTACATGGTATATATATGGTATGTGTATGCATGTGTGCAGTGTGATGTGTGGTGTGGTTTGTGTGTCCTGTGTGTGTGTGGTGTATAGTGTGTGTGCTTGTGTGTATGTGTGTACCCCAGGCACACAGTCACCCTTTGCAGAGCTAGGTCTGAGCACCTGGTTGATGTGGGCAGGGATGTGAATGGGTGTGACATCAGTCGGGGTGCAGGTCCTGGCAGGAAAGCCCCCTTCTGACCCTGTCCCACCAGGGCAGCTGTGGGGATCTCCTGGTGTCCGTGATGGAGTGGGCCCTGAACCTGGCTGTGTGTGCACATGGACGTGGCCCTAGCCTGGATGGACAGATGTGTGTGAGGCCGTGTGCTGGGTGGGGTGGGGTGGGGTGGGGTGGGGTGTCTGCACTGCTGCGTGTGGAGAACCGCTGGGCAGGGCCTGCAGCCACGGCCCAGAGGTGTGTGGGATGTGTGCCTACTGGTGGGTGTCGTGAGTCTGCTGTGTGCACTGATGTGTCCTACACGGGCGAGCAGCATGAGGACGTGCGTGTCCCTAGACTGTGTCTGAATATGTGGCCGTGGGTGCAGCCAAGGGGTGTGTGTGTGTGTGTGTGCGTGTGTGTGCACGCATGAGCATGCAGGGGTGGCGTGGCAGTAGAAGGGTCTTGGGCCACGTCTCTCTCTCCTCTTTAGACAGAGCCCTGGAGAAGATATGAAATTTAAAAAAAAAATCAATTTTCATTCCACTTGTGCAGATTGTGTTAAGGGGAGGTGGGGATGGGGGGCTGGGTGAGGGATGAAGGGGCTGGGGGGGGAGTGAGGCCCGAGGCAGCTCCCGAGGCGGCCAGCGCAGCTTAGAGAAATCAAAACAACTGGTTAAACCCCAGCCCAGGGGGCCGTGGTGATGGGGTGAGGAGACAGAGGCAGAGAGGCAGACAGAGGCCCAGAGACAGGGAGGGCCAGGCCAGCCAGAGACACAGAGGTGGAGACACTGAGAGATGCAGACAGACAGACAGATGAGCCACCCAGACCCTCAGTGAGAGACAGACGGACCGATAGGCAGAGAGCTGACATTCAGAGGGGTGCTGAGAGAGACGAGGACAGAAGGGCCTGAGACAAGTGCACATTTTACACGTGCACGCACACGTGCACATACGCACACACAGACAGGCTTAAGAAGTCCACAGATGGAAGGATGGACAGAGACAAGGGTAGCACAGAGGGTAGAGAGAGGGTAGCAAAAGCAGCAGGGACCCTGGGGTGGGGTCACCTCTGAGTGTGCACCCCATGCAAACTTTGGCTTGTGCCTGGGGGCTGCTGCAGGCCCCCGTGCTGCTGGTTGTAGCTGAGGCTGTGATCCGTGTGTGTGTGTGTGTGTGTGTGTGTGTGAGATTGTGACTGTGTGTCTGTGACTGAATGTGGGGCCGTGGGTTTGCCGCCTGGTCATGGCTATCTGTGTTAGGGACATACGTGCCTCTGTATCGCCGTGTGTGACTACGTGCATGCATGTTTGAGAGCCTCTGGTGCTTGTTTGTGTGGCTCTGTTTCTCTGGCGTGGCTGTGTTGGCCTGTGTTTGGGTGTGTCTGTATCTCCGTGACATTGTCTCGGTGTGTGACTGTGTGCCGGTGTGCTTGTAGGTCTCAGTGTTGGTGTTTGTGAACCTTGGTGTTTATTGTGTGTCCATGTTAGTGTCTTTCTAAGATACGTGATTGCGTGTCTTTGTTTCTGTGTGGGATTGAATTGGTTTGTGTCCTTTGTGTGTGTCTGTGTAAAACTGTGTGTTTCTGCATCAGCGTTGATGACCCTACTGATGTGTGTGGCTGTGTATGTGACAGGGTGGTGTTGGTTGATATGTGACCCTCACTGGTATGCGTTGTGTGGCATGTGGTCGTGGTGTCTGACTTTGTTGACGTGCGGGTGTGTGATGTGTGACAGTGACAGTGGTGTGATTGTGTTGACATGTGTGGATTGTGTTGGTGTGTGTTGTCAGGTACATGGCGGTGTGTTCTGGTGGTGCGCTTTCACGCTGTGTTGTGTGTTTTGTGGGGCCGTGGGCTTGGGCAGGTGTGTAGGTCTGTGTGATTGTGCTCGGCAAGGAGGAGGCAGCCTCTCCCTGCCAGCCTTGCTCACACCGCTGCCTCACACACACACATTCGGTGCCATGGCTGCGGGCGCTGGAGATGGGGGCGAGGGGGGGTGGAGGAAGCAAAATAAAATTAAAAATTAAAGCTTGCCCGGAGTCCCCATCTGCACCGCGCGCGGCCGGTTGTTGCGGGGGGGTGTTGCGGCTGCTCCCCCTACCGGGGCTGGGCCTGTCTGTCCATCTGTCCGGCTGCCCTAACAGGCCCCTGCCTGGCCCTACCGCCCGGGGCCTCAAGCCCTGCTCCTTCCATGGGTCGATCAAGGATCAATGGGGGTGGGGGTGCCCCGGGCAGGGTGAGATCAAAGGGACCCCAAGAGAGGGACATTGGGACTGAACAGAGACAGGGAGAGGGAGAACTAGAGACAGAGACCGAGAGACAGGACGCTGGCAGGAGCGTGGAGACACTGAAACAGACAGGGAGACCGGCGGCCGAGGCGCGGAGGCCCAGAGAGGCGCGGGACAGAGACAGAGAGACGCGCACACCAGCGATGGGAGATGCGGGGTGCAGGCTGCGGACCGGGCGGGGCTGAAACAGAGGCTGGAACCGGCGTGGGGCAGGTGGCAGGGAGGGGGGCCCAGGGGCGGGGCCGGGACCCAGAGATGGGGGGAGTGGCGGCAGAGACTGTGAGATGGCAGAGACGCCTGTGAGAGACGGCGAGGGGTGGGGGAGCGTGGGAGCAGGGCCCGGAGCGCCGATCCCACGGCTCCTCGTTATAACGTGTCCGGAGGAGGCGGCGGGGAGTTGAAAGCATCGGGAAGAGAAATCAAAACCAACACGGAAATGAGAGGGGCCAGTGGGGGGGGTAGGGGGGGAAGAGGGAGGGGGGACCCAGAGAGGCTGAAGGGGGGGGGGGGAGGGGGGGGGAGTAGGGAGTGTGCAGGGAGAGGGGGAGATCAGGGGAGAGCCTGGGATGGGGTGGTGGCCTGAAAGAGGGCGAGGGATGGAGAGATACCGGAGGAGAGATGGAGACAGAGACAGGGAAGTCTCTCAGAGACTGAAAGATGGACCAACTGGGGTATGGGGAAGGAGACAGAAAAAGAGATGGGGGTGGGAGGCAGATAATCAGGAAGAGACTGAAAGAGACTTAGCCACAGGATGGGAAGACACCCTAAGTGAAGGAGAGAGAGGAGGGGGTGTGGGAGGAGAGACCGAGTGAGAGACAGAGGGAGCGGAGATAAACCCAGAGAGAGGAGGAGGAGGAGGAGGTCGGGCTTGGGCTGAGAGGGGCACAGGTGAGGGCTGGGGCAGCTGAGCGGGCAGGGCCGGGAGTTGGGGACCTGTTGGACATGTTGGAGGGGAGGGACGCTGTCTGCCTGGTGCCTGAGGGGTGAGGGGGCTTGTGAGGGAACAGGCTGGGGGTCCTGAGGGTGTGTAGGCTGTCTGGGGAACGGTGGTCTGAGAGTACTGAGAGGGTCTCTAGGAGGACAGAGGCGGGTCTGCAGGGTGGGGCTGGGAGGGGTTTCCCACAGCACAGGCTGGATGTGGCTAAAGGGGTGCCCTGTCCTGGGGCGCAGTATGGCTGTGGTGTGAAGGGAGTGGGTAGTTAAGGATGGCAGGGGCCCAGGCTGTCTGAGGGGAAGGTGCTGAGGGGACGGGGAGGGGATGGAGCATCTCAGGGACAAGGTATCTGAAGAGGGTGTCGGAGGGAGCAGGACTGGAGGGGGTGGGGTCTGACAGGCAGATCCAGTCAGTGGCAAGTCTTTAGGGAACAGCAAGCAGGTCTGGAGAAGGAGGTCTGTAGGACTCATACAGGGGGCCAGGCCGTCCTGTAGGGGGAGGGCAGGGGCTGTGTCTGCCCTCTCAGCCTGGCCGCCAGGTGCCCAGCTCTGCCGGCTCCAAGGAGAGCAGGTGAATTGGCCTGGGGGTCAGCCGGGTGGGGAAAGCTTCGGAGCAGATAAACCTGGGGCAGCTGGAGAGAGACACACACAGAGGGAGGGGGTGCCCAGAGACAGGCGAAGGGCCCGGCCCCCAGAGGTCAGGCAGCGATGGGACAGAGGCGGCTGCACATCAGCGGGCGGCGCTGTAGCGGAGGGTGGGCGCACGAGAGCCAGCCAGTGCGAGTGAGGCAGGAGCGGTGAGCAGCGCGTGGTGAGCGGTGAGGAGGGAAGCCGGAGCGGTGGTCGGCGATCAAGGCACCGGCAGGAGGCTGCGGGGAGGAGAGGCTGGTGACTCAGGCTAGGGACAGAGGGGAACCAGGAGGCAGAGGGGAGGCCTACAGGAAAAGGGGTGGGAGGAACTGGGGGGCACAGGGAGCAGTGGGTAGCAGGTGGGCAGGGCGGGGCTGGGAGATGGGGAGCCCTGCAGTGTCCCGCTGGCTGACCTGTGTCTGTCTCTCCCCTTGACCCCATCCCCGTGTGTCTGTCCGGCCTCTGCAGGGCCAGCTCCGCCATGGACTGTAGCTGCGTCTCCGACCTTCTCTTCGCCCCACCTGCCCTGCCGGCTCTCTGGACCCCCGGTAACTGGCCCAGACCTCCCCTCCCCTGCCCCCCAGCCCTCCCTAGGGGCCACACCTCCTTCTGTCTGTGTGTCTTCTTGTCCATCTCTGAGTCTGTCTCCCTTGGTGTCCATCAGAGTCCCCTGAATAAAACCCCTTCGTGAAAAACTTGGTTAAAAACTTCGTAGCTACCTCTCCCTGCCACCTGCCTGCTGGGACGTGGGGCTGGAGCGGATGAGGCAAGGAGGTCAGAGAGGGATGCGGCTGTCTGGGCAGATCAGCACACACACTCAGCGCCTGCAGTGGAGAGCAGGACTCGGGACTGAGGGGGCATTAGGCCGGGTACAACAGACAGGTGGACAGGTGGACAGACAGCCCTGCCCAAGCAGCCCAGGCCCAGGAGAGCCGGTTTGCTCAGGAGTGGATGCTCAGGACTGGCGGATGAAGACAGAAAGGCTGACTTGGATGCGCATTTGAGCCTAAGTCACACTCCCCACAGACGGCAGTGTGTGTGTGTGTGTGTGTGTGTGTGTATGTACACACATGCACATGAGTGAGAGCAAGGGAGAGACCGAGACCACCGGCTTATTTGGGGTCTCACTGTGGGGTGTGTCCTTGTGTCACACTTTAGTGTTTCTGGAAGGAGTCACACTGGGCAAGTATGTGCGCAAGTCTGCCCCTCTTCCTGTGAGCCTGTGTCCAGTTCATACGTGTGCGGCTGAGGCCACCTAAATGTGTCTGAGCTGGCGTCTGTCTCTTAGGATCCTGCCCGGGGGTGAGGGGTGGTGGGTCTGTGTGTCCCTGCCTCAGCAGGCTGCAGAGCTCTCATGTTTCTTGCCATCTGTGGTGTGCTAGGTGGCACCCCAGTGGACTTCTTGGTATGCTCTGGGCTGTGGGGTTGGATGTGCCCCTGGCCTCTCTGTTGGGGGCTGTGTCCAGCTTTCCATGCACTGTGTGTGTGTGTGTGTGTGTGTG